CCTCTCTGACTCAGCCCTGTCCCAGTGAAACCCCATCTGGTTGGGATGGCTTTTCACCTGCTCACTCCCCAACTTCATCTGGAACCATCATTTTACGTAGTCTTTAAGCACGGTGCTACAAAAGCAACTAAACGATCAAGACAAGGATACATGAAGTAGCTCAACCCATGAGCTACGGTGCTCACACGATTCATTCGATAAGAAATAAACATTTACAAACGTAGAAATGAATAGGCCCCTCACATATGTGGGTTAGAACCCTTCGTAGCCTAACACGCAACATTGTCCCGAACAATTAAACCCGTCAACAACGAAACCACCAAGTCATGCATACATCCACTCCTTAGTGGATGAACCACCACACATGAACCTAATCATACAACCACGTCCCATAGCTAACATACTCATTTAAAAGTTGTCACATCCTATACTATATGCTTTACATAACTCATGCTCAATTACTTGTAATAAGAACTTATATAATATGCTTTTAATAATACTAAACACTTAACAATTAAGAACGTAGTCAACTAAACATGCTTTTATCAATGGTAAACAATTAACAATTTAACATGTAACAAATCAAGTATGTATTTGGCAACTTAATCATATAATCAACTACACATAAACATTTAATAAATAAGCATGCTTTCACATTTGCTAAAAAATAAATTTAAATAACAATTAATACATTGTCATCTAGCATGTTGAAATGTAATCATCACTTCATAATCCACATAACAACAAATCATGTTTTTAATTAAACAAGAACTAAGCACATAAGTACGCAACACAATCAAACCCAATTCTAACTCCTCTAGGTCAACCCTACCCGTTATCCTTAGGTTTTTGAACCTAAAGCTCTGATACCAAATTTGTAACGACCCAAACCGGGGGTCCAGATCACTAACCGGGTCCTTACCTGAACCCGAGGACATACCAGGGGTAAAATGGTCTTTTTACAATATAAAAGGATAATCCATCCCTAAACTAGTCAAATAAGGTTTAAAATAACTATTCTATTCATTCCATGATGCTCGGTAAGGTTCTACAGTCACCGGACATGAATTCGCAAAGCGCCTTTACCTGTTCAAGGCAAATTCTGACACTATTCCACTAAAACAACCATAACTCTCAACATGAATGGAATTTGAGGATGAGGTTGGTCTCATTGACAATTTAACTCAAAATCCTTGAAAATGGACTCAAGAATGACCCTATTTGGGTTCGGAACGAAGAAGTTATGACCGTCCAAAGTCAGGTGATCAAAGCTAGCAAACTGACAAGGCAAAAGTGGGTACTGGAGGTCTTGAACTGGTTTAAGAATCTTGAACCGATTCAAGATGGGCAGTATTCCTATATGTGAACTAAATGCACCCCTTAAACCAATTCAATGGAGCTGAACCGGTTCAAGATGGCCAGAACCTTAAAATTAACCCAAAAAGCTTAAAAAGTACACTTGTGCCTATGGGCACCCCTTTGGTCCCTTGGTGACCTTACCTATAGTCCAAAACTATCCCAAATCATGCAATTAACAGTGTAAAAACATAATTAAACTCAATACGAGTCCAATACATTATTTAAAATTCGATTTATACAAATTCCATTTTATACAATTTCTAAAGGAATCAAATATAAAGAATGAAGCCTCGAAGGCCAAAATTTCATAACTTTAATACAATTAAAATGAAATGAATTCCTAACTACATCAATGCCCACGGATTCATGTCATTCACCGGCTCATCTCCAAATTCCTGAAAAATGTTAATAATGATAGGGTGAGCTCAACAGCTCAGTAGAGAAAGCCTAAAGTACATTCCTAAAAATCCCGTGAGCCACTACCAAAGAAAGGGAATCAAAGAAAAGGGATCATGGAATTATGAGGCATATCAATCATACATGAATTTCACAAATTCACAAACCATACCGTTAAACATGAAATGCAAATGTCCCATTCTTCCTTTCCAACCCAACCTCACTAAAACCTTTCTAACCATCACCTCATCTTCTAACCTTTTTTCCCACATCAACCTTCATCCTCTCAACTCACCCCTATGGGAAGAATATGCATGTCATACAACCATTCATCAATACACAAGTCATAATTTACATCATAGTTATCATATCAAACATCCAAACATAAAAATTGATCACATAAATCACACTTTCACATTTTCTCATAGAAAATAGCATGCTTGCCTCAAATACAGGAAAAACCATCATATTCTCAACTCAAGTAATTAGATCAAAACTATCTCATGCTTAACATCACAACCAAAAATTTACAACTAAGCATGCTTCACAATATCAAGAGATTCATGTAAGAAAATATACAGAATTCACTAAAATCATAGGAATTTATACTTTAAACTTCCTCTACCTCAAGATAGCAACAAAAACAAGGCCTTAGCAAGCCCCAAATTTGAAATCCCCAAACACCTTGCAATATAGGTGTCAAAATGTAGCCCTCTCCAAGCTCTTCTACTTTCCCTCTACGGCTTTATCAAACTCCCACTTAAAGCCTTCCAAATTCAAGCTTTTTCTATGGAAGGCAAACATGTATATAGATAGATATAGAGAGAAAAAGATAATGGTTAGAGAGAGAATGTGGCTGCCGAAAATGAGAGGAAGAAATGAGTGGTGGGCTTGTTTTGTTTTTTGGATCCATGGCCAGTGTGCCACTTGTCACAAAATGGTTGATTTCTAATTTTGTGCATAGTTACCATCTTGACCTCCATCAAATCATACATTGCCTCATTTGCCCCATAAATATCTCCCTATATAAATATATATATATAGCTACCCAAATATATATACATATGCATATGAAATGACTATAATGCCCCTCATTTAAAATGACAAAACCGGAAGAAGTTCCCGAGTTCGGAAATCGTCCCGACTTCTGAAAAATTCTAAAAATGATACCGTCGCTTCTAATTGACTTAAAATGATTAAAAATACACATCTAAAACCCTCGGCTCAAAAAATGACCAAAACACCCCCCCAGGGCCCGCATGGCACGTAAAATGAAGCAAGGATTAAAATAATTCAGAAAAATCAAATAAATTCCAGCAATTAGAAAATAGGGAAAATTGGTAACATTACACAACCTTTCTTCGATCGATCAAACCTTTTGATCTTATCCTCATAGTTACTTTTGTCCTTTTACTCATAAATTTCTCAGTCCTTGTCCTTAACCAAATAAATGCATCGCCATGCTTCGATCGATCGAAGCAACATTGTCTTCGATCGATCGAAGCAACATTGTGATCGATCAAACTGCCTCAAAAATCATGCAAAACAGAATTCAAGCCCAATTGAAGGTGTGCTCCTGATGCAATCATTTGGAGGTTCTAATGCACGAGGTCTGACCATTTGGGGTGTCATTTGAGCTACCTATATAAGGGAATTAACCATTTTTGGTAAAGAGGTTGGTTAGCTGGACACCTTTGGTAAGAGATTAGGAGGAGATTAGACACACTTTGGGGAAATTCTCTATCTCTAGGGTTTCTACCAAGAAGACCAAGAGAAAGAAGATGAATTCAACCATGAAGATAGTCCTTCAGGGTTGCAAGATCACATCCATGAGTGGCTAGATCATCCTCTTGTGGCTAGGAGAAGCACTGGGCTTGTACTCTAAACTCTAGTTCTTTGACATATTTGGAATTTTTGTTGTAAATAATGTATTAACCTTGTGATTAAATAAATCTTGTGATTCTATGGTTTAATTCTTCCAATTAATCTTCCAATTTATTTACATGTCTTGTGTGATGAAATGGATGGTTATATCTCTACATTAGATTCTATAAATTTGATGCATGTCTATGTGTGGTTAAATTGTGAATCTAGTGATGGTCATACATAGTGCTTATTGGATACACTTGTGATTGATTTGATGTGTTATGCTTATGCTTAATGGATTGTTCTACACCATTAGTTTTATTAGTTTAATTTATTTGTCTTAGTGTAATTGTAGTGTAATTGCCTTTAAATTCCTAGATAGGTAGACAATCCATGCTTGTATTTGATACTCCATGCTTATTGTTACAAGATGTTCATTTCTCTAGATTGATGTGTGCTACAATTGTGGGTTTATTAAATGGATAATGTCTTAACTTGATGAGTTGTGCTACACATATATGGTTAGGTAGACAATTCACACTTGTTTTGTCATCCATGCTCATTGTTTCAATTGGTAGCACACATATGGTTACAACATTGAATTCCCCTAAATTGTCAAAGGCTAGTTGTTTAGAGGAAGAGCTTAGTGGTGATTCCTATGCCCTAAGACCTCTCTCCTATTCTCTCACCCTTTTTACTCTAGATTGTTTCTTTTGCATGTTCCTTAGTTTAATTGTAATATATACCAAACCAAACCACTATTTTGATCATTCGACCTACTAATCCAAATTTAATTCCGAATACACTTGCGGTCTCTTGGGACGATCCCTTCTCACTTCATACTATATAGTATAAGTGTTAAGTGGTTTTTATAAATTTTTAAATGTGGTGGCCACTTCACTAATCACTTTTTATGCATTTGACTCAGCCCACACCAATAACATCTTATTTTTATTTTAACTTCATTACCTAGATTTGCAGCTATGGATCGATTTCGGCGACTGGGTGTTGGGGTGGGACTCAATGGCACAAAGCCTAAGGACTTGGCAACGGTTATTTTGTTCCCAGCGGTAGGTGTTGGAGTTGTATTGGCGCCAATGGTGGTGGTTGTGGGTGGTGGTGGCAATGGAGTTTGGGTTTCAGATTTTGTGATTTGTAAATGAGGAAGTTAATTTTGTCCATTAAAATGCTTTGAGAAGGTCAAAATGGTAAATTCATAATTCAAATAAGTCAATTCACAAGTCAAAGGGCAATAATATACTTTTCCCTTGGTTTCTGGTGTCATTGATCAATTTAGCAAACTTAGGGTGTGTCATTGTTAAAAGGATGCCTAAGTTGTAAATGGCTGTCTTTAACCCAAACCTGGGGTGTCAGTGCAATTTACCCAAAACTATAAGAAATACTCATTTCCAATTGTATAAGATTAATTCACAAGTGAATCAAACAATACAGCCTCCATGACTTGCAATGTGTATAAATGCCTGACCAATTCAGATATCATATCTACCTGTGCCTATACATCTATATATATATATATGAATTTACACAAGTAAGAACAATAAAGCACTTTCTGTAGTAAATTCTTCTCAACCCTTTGAACCATCATCAGGGAGACAATACTCCTGAGGTGCCCAAGAGTTTGGGCTTTCTCAGCCAGTACTGCTGAAACCTCTGCCTCGAGTACTCCATGTAATCAAACTCAATATTATTCAAGTAGTCCTGCAGATCCGAAAATGATAAATCTGGGGTCAAAGATCCCAATTCGGATGTATGAATGGATTGAAACAACAAAAGAAAATGCAGAAATGAGTACCGAGATTAATCCCCATAACCCCCAAAACAGATGGTTTGCTAGTGTGTACTTCTCAGCATCCTGGACAAGCTGCTCAACTTCAGTGTCACTGGGTTGATTGCCTACAAACAGCAATAAATATCAGACATATATTAATAATATTGAGAACAACTCATAATCTTTATCTATCGGCATAATAAGGCCATAAAATTAATATTTTTCAAAGGGAGAGTCTATCAAGAGGGCACTCATGGCATGCCTTCTCAGCTGTTGGGAGCGTCCCCTTGGTAGCTTTTTCCTTTTTCAAATAGCTAATGGAGCTCGTAAAATTTGTCTCTATAGTTCAACCATCAACATAGAGACAAGTGCCTACAATCATTCAGGATAAGCAACTCTGACTAAGCTAGCCCTTTACTGGAAAAAAAACCTCTGACTAATAATGTCACACTGGAAGGCTAAAGGTCAAAAATGATTTACATTAGGTTTACAACAGGTGCCCTTGTCCAATAAATAAATTAAATTCAGGAAAACATGGGCCACAAAAATTCTTAGAAAGATTGACCTTCCCTCCTTGCATATATATACACATGCATGTGTGTGTGTGTCTGTGTAAAAGATTGACCCTTCCTCCTTGCATGCATGTATGTGCATGCACAATTTTAAATGTCACTGCATGGCCCTGGTCAATATGAGTAATTTCCATGTTTGCAACAATTACAAACAAGCCCAGCAAGAGCTAAAATCTATTTACCACTTCAGCCAACCCCTTGGGGTGGAGCTAAAATCTATTGTTCAGCATCAATCCTTGACTTAATAGAGTTTTAATAAAGTTTCATATAGACCATTGATCAACATGAAATCTAGAAATCAAATTCTTTTCTGTTAACCAACAAGAACAAAAATGGGCTAACCTGTGGAGCTGAGATATACACGCACAAATCTTTGGCGCTCCTCCAGATCTGTTGCCAACAAGATTAAGAAGCGCAAATGTAAATAGTTTCAAGTAGTTGCAGCTCAGTGCATCTTATCTTACACTTTAATAAAAGAGAAAAAGCAACAAATTAAGCACTAAAAAGAACAAGAAATATACATATGTATATAAATATTTCAAAAGTTGCTTACTTGGGTATATACTGTAGTCTAAAATATGGGGCGTCTCAGAATGATAATTTGCTACCATTTCACAGAAGTGATTTGCAAGGTCATATGCAACAGGATTGTAACTGGCATACTCATAATCCTGTAAAAGAACAGATAATTTTTAAGGATAGAAACTTGTCACAGCACATTGAAAAGGATAAATAACTATTTAGGGAAAAAAAAGGATAAATAACTAGGTTTTTAGTTAGCCACATGGAAAGCCATGTAATTTCTATCTTATACTTTTTAGTAGTGTTTACCTTGGTAATAACAACTAAAGTTTCATTCACCTTGCTCGAGCCATATCTGCATGAGCTCATCATCTTTATCATTTAACCACACCTTTGGTTGAGACTGCTGAGAGGCAGTCCAACAACCAACCGGTACAAAGAAAGATCTTTGCAATTTTTAACAGTCTCAGCCAGCAAATTCAATTCATCTGTTAGCAATTATGCTCTGACATATTATGTAACAAAAGAGTTTTGCTAGTTTTCTGTCTACCATTGCATATTCATGATTATTATTATTTTCTCATTTATTTAAAATGTTTACTTATTAGATCGATGCTACAATTTCGAACTAACTCATATTATTTTTACCTATTATTGGTCAAGCTACTGAAAAGATCAAGAGAACTAATTTCAATGTGGTAATATTTTTCAATTGAAGATTACCACAATTTAATATTGGTGCTATCTCCATATCTTGAACTGAATTTGATAGCACCAGTTGAATTGTATAATAGTGGTTTGGGTCAGGAATTTGGATCCAACAAATCAAATCAGATCCAACAAATCAAATCCAACTTGTGCAGTCATAATTAATTAATTTAACTCCTTACCAAAAAAAAAAAAAAAAAGAAAAAGAAAGAAAGAAAGAAAAACCTAGTTACTTTAACTAAATTTTCTTAAATTGAAAATAAAATTCTAATATCAATATTTATCTTATTTTCATACTATCTTCAGAAATGTAATCTGCTTTAGTCAAAGTCACTAATGTGTGTATCTTACAGAATATTAACAAAAAGAAACATTGAAACTGTAAATCATCAAAAAAAAAAAAAAGAAAAAAAAAAAAAAGAAGGATTTACCAACACTACAATGATTTTCAAATCCTGGGATTTCTCAAATTCCACAATTCTGGATATTTGACAAAAATTCACCCTCATACTAGAAAAGGGAAAAAACTGATACTAGAAAGTTTTTGTTCTCTTACGCCATTTATGTGAGGTATGTTTATTACCATCACTTTCCTAATTGCAATCTTAAAACGTACATAGAAAACATTACTAGCACTTGTATAACCATTGGTTCCTGCACAAAGGTACTTGTCGAAAAAAGAAAAAAATGGTGCTTATCCATTAATCTCCCGGAACTATCTTTTTGCCAGAATAACGGTTTGCCCCTTCTATGCAAAAGGAGAAATGTGTGCAAAGCAACAATGAAACATTAAGGAAAGCCATAGTGTAAGAACATGCAGTGACAGACCTTTAAAATGGATGCCTCAACACTCAACAGAATGGATACACAAGTCAACAACTAACCAAAATGAAGTGAACTTACAATTAAAGTGACCGATCTTGTCTCTTCATCCACCATTATATTACCATATTGCAGGTCATTGTGACAAAAGCCAGTATCTTGATGGTCCCTTGATAACTCCTTTTCCAATTTGCAGATTTCCTCCCCTAAGCTATACAACTTCAATTCCTTAGCATGTTCAGGGGAGCAAAAGCTTTTTGCCTCACTAAGCCAGTTTCTGTGGAAGAACATAATGAGTCATGACGCCCAATGGTCAGAGGAAAACTTTCACAATTTATGCAGATCAATACCTCATTCTGTCCCAAAGGACTACATTCTTAGGACCGGGCATCTCAAGATTATGGAACTCCCTCAATTTAGCTGCTACAAGAGAAGATACTTCAGGGTCACGGAGATCACCAGCTGACAGTGTCTAAAATAAAATTTGAAAAAACATGGTACAGCAAGCTACTATTAGTAAATATAGACACTACACTACAGCGAAATTAGACAATCATAATAACAATCTAATAAAAGTAAAAGCAAGGACTATGCGTGCAGCAACTCGTGAAATAGCCTCTTTTTTTCTTATAATTACTTATTTCTTTTTTGCTAATTACGATATTCAACAAGAATTAAGATTACAGAAGTACTTAACGGAAATTGGAAAAGCATAACTGCAAATCTTACACTTGGATACATCCTAAACTTGGTTTCAATTAAACCCATATAGGCACACTTAGTCTGATTCTTATCTAATTTGACTATATATCCTATAACTTTGTATCAAATAATCAAGTTTCTCATATGCTGCAGAATCTTCCTATTTTTGTGGAATGTTAAAACTTATATACTGGCTATTAAAGTAGGTATTATGGTAATCTTTAAGGAAAACACACATCAAGTATAGAGCACAACAACTAGGGGAAAAAAACACAGAAGTATAGAGCACAAATTGATGTTCTTGAAAGAAAATAGCAAATTGGCATCACATGTTACATTTTTTAAAAAAATAAGAAATTTATCAAAATATTTGACATACCCTGGCATGGATGAACTCCTCCACCCGGCCCTCCGGAAATCGGCCAAGAAGGCGAGGGCCCTGTCCGTGCATTGACATACACTCAAAGGTCCGAATTTCGTCGTCCCGGTTAAAGAAAAGCTCAACGCCTTCCCCATAAATTCGAACCAAAACCACTCTGTTGACATTATCCATGTTTGTAGGCCAACTTATCTGATAAACCTGATTAGTCATAGCACCCTTCAAGTGCACCACTTGCAATGATGTTTTTGGATCAATCACATCCCCCCAATTTGAAGCCATAGATACCAATAGCTTCATCAGCTCTTCCGGAAAAGTAACTTCCGTGAACCCATTCGTCTTCACTGCCATCAAAGTGATATTCAAAAATGCTTCTTCACCTTACAAGAGAGGGAAAATTTAACAATTTTCAGTTTGGATCTCACATTAAAAGTAAGTAATATCATCAAGAATCAACTTCTACTTACATATAACATAGAAATATTATCAACCCAATTGAAAGAAATGTGCAATAATTGAAGAACCCAAAAGAATTAGCAGAAAGAAATTCAAGAATTCACCAGAGAATTATCAAAAAGACTCCCAAGAAAACTTTAGAGCTGATAACAGTTGGTTGTAATCGGAAATGGGCGAATTTGTATCTGCATATATATAGATTCTATATAACTATATAGACCAAGAATCTGCTTTTTTCTGTGTCTGAAATAATCGCGTCTCTAATCGCGTTTACAAAGGGACTGGTCACGAAAAATCTTTCGAGAGGGGACCACACGCACCGAAGCGCGCTGCTAGCTAATCAACAGCCAATCATGACATGCCATGTGTCAAAACTAAAGCTGCTAATGAACCGAACCGAGCCGAACTTGGGTCTGCTCGGGCTCAGCTCGCTTGTTTACAAGATCTGCTTGGGCTCGGGCTCGGCTCGTGATGAGTTCAGAAAATTGAGCTCAGGCTTGGGGTTCGTCTTAATTTTAAAATTTCGGACTCAGCTTAATTTTAAAAGTTCGGGCTCGGCTCTGGAAATTTTTTTCTCAAAATTAATAAATATTTCACAAAAAAATCAATGATTTCACGCTCTATCATTGTAATTATAATAAACAATACTAAAAACTTTCAAATACCATCATTGTAATTATAAAAAATCAATGATTTCATGCTCCATAATCAATGCTAAAAACTTTCAAATACCTAATTATAAAAAATTAATGATTTCATGCTCCATCATTGTAATTATAATAAATCAATGCTAAAAATTTTCTGATACTATCATTGTAATTATAAAAAACCTGGTGAGGACAACAAACAGAAAGGACGGACGATGACAAAGAACGGCGAGGACAACTGACGGCGATGACAGAGAGCGACGATTATAGCAATTTGTTGGACCCTATCTCTACTATTTAACGACAGAGAACGGCGAGGACAACAATTTACTGGATACTACCTCTACTATTTAACCCAATTAAAGTTATAAAAAGAAAATAAGAAATATATTTCATAAAAAAACAAAATTGCGGTGTTTAACTTTATATCAATATAATGATGATTCTCCAATATTAGTTTATTTGATATTATTTAGCTTTTAATATGTAAATTATTAATTTAAAATAATTATCATTTCTACCGATAATGCTTAAAAAAATTGTAGTATAGTTATTGATGATGTTAAAATTGTCTTTGATAATCTATTTGTATATATTAATCAATGTTGTACTTTGAAGACACAAAGTGGATTAGTGATAGCCTGGTAGAAGTGTTAGGAGTTAAATTTTTTCATGCCCAAGTCTTGGGTTCGAACTATGCTAAGTTATGTTTTTTAATGTGTCATCAACTCGAACCTAAAACTGTTTATGAATAGCTTGGTTTATTTGCAGCCATAATCAAAACTTAAAAAGGGTAATGATTTAGATTGATTTATTTTGTCCAATTTACTGGATAAATTCATGTGCTTATTTGATTTATCATAAATGCTAGCCCTTTCATCTCCTTATACTTATTCATCTCGTAAATGTTACTAGGTGGATAACTATATATTGGACGGAAATAGTATCACAAAAATTTTCTCTTATAAGATTTTCCTATTAACTAATGAATTAAAAAAGTTATTAAATCACTTATTTGACTTTTTATAAATTTAAAAATTTTTTTTATCTTAATTCAGTGATTAAAAAAAGAAGAACACATTTTAAACATTACGAGAGGACTATTGTAATAACATTACTCTTTATTTATTAGGTGGAATAATTTAATTAACGAATTTTCATTTGATGTAATGGATAAAGATTAAAGAACAATACTTCCTCATACCCCATCAATAGAGATTTCCTTCTCCAGTTGAGATGGCTCAATGAAAAACGACATCTGTTCTAAAAACGTTACATAAAATTATTAATAAAATAACTGGAGTAGACCCGTTTTAGCCGGATAAAACCCAACTCACAAAAAATAAAAAAATAAATAAAATCCTAACCCTAGCGAACCGCAAAGCCCCACTGCGCTGCCACTCCACAACCCCTCCATCTTTCTCTCCACCACCCCTCCCTTCTCCCCACCTTCTCTCTATCTCTCTTTCCCCCACCGCCCCCTCTCTTCAAATCTTCATCTATTATATATATATACACACACACATATATATACATAAATACATATATTTCTACAGCAAATCAAAAGATGCAGGTTCAATTATCCATCATTTGGGAACAATTTTTGAATTTCATTACATATGGTAATATATAGCAATTCATAGGAGAAGAAGTGGGTGAAGAACATAACGTTATCTTCTTGAATGAGAATGGCGATATCTTCGACGGTACTGCTGGAGGCTGCTTTCTTGATGGGGGCGGCGACTATGGTGAGGGCGGAGAGGCAACAGAAAGAAGGATTTGGAGTTGGGTTTGAGAGAGAGAGAGAGTGGGAACCTTGTGTTTTTTTAGATGGTTATACTCTTTTTGACGGATCCGATCCATTTTTCAATTTTTAAAACATGTGTGGTTTTTTTTTATTCAGCCACCTCAGTTGGAGAAGGAAATCTCTCCTGATGGGGTAGGAGGTAAGTATTGTTCGTGCATAAATTCAAGTATAGGTCCTATTTATTATTTTAAAAGGATGAAATTTTTTAATTACTCCCTCAGTCCTAAATTAAATATTTTTTTTCGGGAATCTTATTTTCTAAGGGATGAGTTTTAGTATTTTTTTATTATAGTGTGTAATATCCCTAATTTTTGAGGATTTATTTAATTATTTTTTATTTAATTATGTGGTTATGTGTTTATGTGATTATTTGATTTAAATGTTTATGGTGAAATATTTCATTCAATTGTGTGTATTTGTTTATATGTATGTTGTATTTGTTTGTAGTTTAAATTAAATGTTTTGTTGTCTTAATTTAATTTAATTTATTTATTGTATTCGTGATTTGAGCTAGTAGTATTAGACCAACTAAATGGATCGTGGACCACTAGGTAGGAGGCCTAGTTGGGTATGGATTATTAGGCCCATGGATATTATTATTATTATTATTATTATTAGTTATTAGTTTTATTTTCTGTTGTCAGACGTGTAATAGGATTAGGATTAAATTATATATGTAGTGTGTGTGTGTGTGTATATATATATATATATATAGCTTGGGGAAAAGAGAGAGAGGCGAGAAAGAGAGAGAGTGATCATGAGAAAGAGAGAGAGAAAGGCGTAACAGAGAGCATGACGGCATCTCAAAGGTTGCCAGAGTTTAGATTTTCGGTCCGAAACATGTAAGGCAAGTTCTTCGTTCTACACTTCTCCCTTAGATCTCGTGTTCAATATGTTTGTAGTACGACTTTAGGGATTTATAAAAGTTTACGGAATCTGACTTCATGTTTAAATCAATCTAGAACAAAGGTATATGCGAATAAATGTTTATATTTATTTATGTTGTATGTTCTTGGTGAATAAAAGGATTGGATCTATGCTAAACTTGTTTTTAAATGTTAAATTGATTATAATTAGTTAATGGATGGTTATGGGACATAGAAGCATGTTTTAGGACCCGAAACAACGAATTTATAGACTCGGATCAGTCATCCCAAGCTGTTTTCCTGTCACAAGGCTCGAGCGCTGATTCTGGGAAAATAGCGCTAGAGCGCTATTAGACTGGGCTCAAGCGTTGTTCAACGCTCGAGCACTGTTTGACATGGCTCGAGCGCTAAGGGGTTGGTTTGGTTAAAAAATACCCCGAATGACCCCAGATTGATTTATCAAGGCCCCAAACACTAAATAGGGACTTAGGAATAGTTGTATGTGGATTAAATGGCATGAAGTTTCAGTATGCATGTTAATTTGAATTTTATTCAATTATTAATTTGTAAATTGAATACTTTAACTTGTTCAAGCATCGGAATTTAAATTTTTAGCATTTTATATGATTGTAATCTTCTTAATTGCTAGAATTATAAGTTATTTGAATGGTTTATGATTGGATTTAGGATTTTCATGGTTAATGTAAAGGACATTATTAACTTATAAATTATTCATGTAATTTAATAAGTTTAAATTACTATACTAATTGCAATATTTGATAATGTGATTAAATTATATTCATGGCTGTTTTGTATGATCTACTATGTGATCTATCTTTGTTGTATACGAGACCATTATCAAGATATGGTTTTGGTATTGTATTGATATTGCTAGACCATTGTCATGATATGGTTTTGGTATTGTCATGAATGTTATTGAGTTCAATTCTTTTAAAAAATATCATTGTTAAATTCCTAGAGTTAGTATAATTAACCATAATATGATGGTTGGGGTGAAGTCAAAGCCCTAAGACTTTCTCTCGCTGATCATTTAAATTAGTTTAATTCGCTCTAGTTAAATATTTTGTTATAATTTTAGTTTGTTAACTCGTGACAACCAACAAACTTTCCAACCAAGTTACTTGTAAACCATAAAACGAAATTAAAGACTAATGCAAATCTCGTCTCCCTATGGGTTCGACATCCTCTTCATATAGAGCTATCCTACACGATATCGTTCTATTACGAGTGGTTAATTTATTACTGCAAGATCACACAAATAAATTTTGGCGCCGTTGCCGGGGAGATTAGTTTTTGTTTTGTTTTTAATTAGTTTATTTTGGTTTACCAATCTTCGGACTTTCTGATATCTCATCTTAATTCTTTTTCTTTTCAGGTAAAAATTAGCAGTGTGGACAAGGACACTTAAGGGAGAAAAGCTTCGGTTTATTAGACCTTTTGTGAGCTTTTACTGTTTTTTTGTTACTTAGAATATTTTATTTTTGCTACTGTTAGGATTAGTGGAACCAGTGCATGTTAACTCGCCAAAATAGGTCAAAACCTTTAGTGCATGATCCTGAAATAGAGAGAACTTTGAGTCAGTTAGGAAAACTTAAAAAACATTTGAATAATATAAATAGTTCCTCTGATAACATGGCTGAACAACGTAATGCACCGGGTAATAATGGTAATGGTAATGGAGAATGGGATCCACCTGTTCCTCCACCACAACCACAATTGAGGGACCATTTCATTCTTACCACATATATTTCCCCTTCGTGCTTTGTTTTTTCGGATGCTGATGCAACCTATTTTGAGATCGAGCCTGCTATGATCCAAATGCTTTCTACCTTCCATGGGTATGCAACAGAAGATCCTCATAAGCACTTGGATGTGTTTTTGGAATTGTGCTAAACTACTAAGTTGACCACTCTAACC